TTTTTTTTTTTTTTGCGGGCATTTCCTTCACTGCTCGCACCGCGGGCGCTTACCTTGTACAGACTATATATATCGTCAAATAGAATATATATATATATAATACAATAGCCCATAAGCCTGTAGATGCATGAGTTCTTCCTTGCCCTTCCTTTTCTGTTGATATACAATGATCTGTCCCAGCAGCCTCAACTGCCCATCGTTCCTCCCATTCCGATTAGGTTCCCTTTGCTCGCACGACTACAAATAATTCAAGGATTGGAAAATGTCGGGCAAAGGAGCGTACCCGGTGCAGCCCCTGGGTGATTAGTTCCGTACATCCGAATAACCATTGTGCATGGATCTGAACTGTTTATTAGGGCGTTCTGTTCTGTGTGGTTTGCTGCGCTGTTTCAGCAAGGTGGCTTCCTGTTCAAACAAAACACACACACACACACACACACACACACACACACACACACACACACACACGCGCACACATTCTCCTGTCTATTGATGGGGAGCGCCACCTGCTGGAAACTGGGTCCATCGTCCCATGAACATCATGAATAAAGCACCAACCAGGATCCCACACACACTCTCTTCGAGTTGTGTATAGCGAACATGACAAAACATACATACAGCATAATCACTACCTTACCCTTCCCGAACCACATCAACAAACAAACTACGGGCTGCGCACCCGTGCCCTCACGGTAAGTCAATTGGGGGTAGTGGGTAGGAGTAGGGTGTGGGCTTTGTGGACAACGTGAGTGGTGTGGGTGATGTTGGTGGTGTGTGGGGAGGGGGCGGTTGTGATAGCATGGGGCTGGGTCAGTGCTGTGGGGTTAGGGGTGTTGGGAGAGTAGGGGCTTTTTTTTGGGGGGGGGAGGGGAGGAGGGGCGTTAGCGAGGGGTGAACAAGTGGAGGTCGAGATAGGGAGAAGTTTGAGGTGGGTGGGGGGTCTGTGGATGGTGAGGGGGTTGAAGAAGGATTTAGAGTGTGTGTGGGGTGAGGGGGAAAGTTGTGACGGGGGGAAGTTATGACGAGTAGGGGGGCTGTGGCGTTGAGGAGTTGGGGAAGGTGTCGGTTGATGGGGGTGGATGTGTGGTTGTTTCCTGATGAAGTACCTTTAAGCTATCCACTGGGGCGGACAGTAGCGGCTAGGACCGTGGCTCGAGTGGGAATCTTCGTGGTAGTTTGCTAAGTGATAAACGTAGCAAACACTCTCCCTTTTGTCTTTGCTTTCTCCCTTCCCTGACCCATACGGTCAATGTGGTGGGTTGAAAGCGGGGTTCCGGCTCCTACCTTTGAAAAGCAGCGGGAGAAGACTGACCTTGTGTGACCTTGTGATAGGCCAGATACTTGGCGTGTCTTTCCTCCTCCCCCTCTTAGGACTCGTCTAAGAGATCATCATTGTGGATGCTTCGCAGATTCTTCTCCTGATTTTTCCTCTCTTCTCTCATTCCTTGTATTAGTAACCCCTCTCCCGTCGCCCACTTCTGCTTGTCTTGGTGGCTTCCTCTCGTGTCTGTTACTCCCTCTCTGATCGTCCTCTCGTGACCTATTCGGGATCTTTCCTTTGATTTGCCCTCCTTATCTCTACCCTGTAATAGTATAGTACTTCCTTGTCTCTTTGCGATCTCCCTTCTTCCTGGCTCTTCCGTCTATATTCCCTCTCCTTTCGGCCAGCTGTCTTTTCTCTTCTCAATTATCTCTTCCACCAACCGATGGTTGCTGTTGCGTCTCGATGCGTTGGAGCTTCAGAACGCGAAAATTTCCATCGCACACTTCGTCGCGCGAATTGCCTTGACGCGGGGACCTTCAGAATTCAAAAAATTCCATTGTGCACTTCGTCGGGCGCTGGGTTGCTTTCACTTTGGCGCTGTCTGACCGACACTACCACAAAAGCCTGTGAACTCCCTTGTTCTGTAATCTCGGGGTTGGGTATTCCCATCTTTAAGTGGGGTACAGATGCAATTTTCCCAAAAAGAAAAGAAGTGTGCTGCTGGCAATTCGGCAAAGCATGGCACGCAGTGGAGTGCCTCCAGGCCTGGGAGTACTGGTGGTTTAAGGTGGTGGACTGATTGATGACCGAGGCACTGGCGATAGAATGGCTATTGGAGTGGGAAGGCCAGGGGTCCTTTGACTCTGCCAGGTTTTACCAATCCCCTGAAGTCTGAAACATTGAAGTCTCTCTAGTTGTTGTGGCGGATATGTAAGGGTGTCGCTTTATTGAGAACTTGGCAAATGGAGTTTGAAAAATGGACAGTCACACTGCTTCATATGCATGCTACTTATGATGGACAGTTCTTTCATGGCCTCTCTTTCTCTTAGCACTCTCCTTCCCTGGCTCTTTGTTATTCTTAACCTTCCATCAAGTTTCCATATTACATCTGTCAGCTAAAAGCAACCCCCATTTCACAGACGAAGAAAAGCAACTTTCTAAATCCTCAAAGGAAAGCACCCAGCCGATGTGGGTGCGTGAACATGAGTTCAAACTCCCTACGAAATCTGACGGAGACCAACCCTTAACAGAATGAATGCTGCGTAGGCGAATATGTTGATAACCTGCCAATCTGATCTGAGATTTGTACAAACCATTTCCATATCGCATGCAAACTCCGCACCGGGGATAAAAGGTGGGTGGGAAAAATGAGGAGAGAGAAGGGAGGGCACGATTTAGATGATCAAGTGAAGTCAATCTCTCTCTCTCTCTCTCTCTCTCTCTCTCTCTCTCTCTCTCTCTCTCTCTCTCTCTCTCTTTTTCTGTGTGTGTGTGTGTGTGTGTGTGTGTG